CCAACACATGTGATGGATCCGGCTCATACTTCCGAAGCATACTCACATGAAACACGTCATGTACCCTCAAGTATTTGATTCTTTGTTGCTTAGCATTTCATTGTTACGGTTTCTCATGAATTTCTAGTGGGTTTAGCAAAAACTTTTTTGTCCCAATTTATATGAGTTCAATCTAATGTCAATATGATCCATGGCACTGGAGTTCATTTTTTCAATGTTCACAATCGTTATGAACTTAACGGGATTTGCGGTTGATAGATATTATGTTCCTTTATAGCACAGCAAACAAGGGGTATATGTTCCACTCTGTCTTGTGGCAGCAAATCGACGGTTTGTGCTATTGCAGCGTTGATTATATTGGTGACCTGTGCATTTATTGTTTATATATCTACTGCTGTGCACACGTTTTTGCATTGATCGTGCAAATTCTGAGTTCTACTTGTGTGTTACTTGATTATAGGATATGACTAAGAGATTGAAGTAGTATGTGAACTTGGTGGTGTTGATTTGGTGAAAATTGACGGCCTGATTCCTATAAAAAAATTATTTTTTGGGGCTAATTATGATGATTTGGTAAGTATTTACTATTGAAAATTATGCTTATTTGGATATTTTAATTTACAATTGGATGAATTTGCTTATTGAGCTAACATAATTAAGTTGAAACATTTCTAACTTGGATGCACTATATGCACATTGTCATGTATTTTTTTTAGTTGTGGAAATTATTAAATCATATTTTGTTTATAATCAATCATTGAATTTTTAAAGGAAAACAAAATCCTACAGAACAGGATGTTGTTTTGTTAGAGAATGCACTGAAGTAATGGAAAAGAAACATTGACTTGACTTCAAACTGCTTTTTTCATAGATGACAACACACCACACAATGATAGGAGAATCCATGCCGATGCCCCCACAATATCTTGGCCCTCTTGGTTTCTCTTTGTAGCAAATAGGCAAGTTGACACTCTATTTTGTTGAAAAAAATTTGCTCGGAAAAAGTTACTTTCAACTATGAAGATAATTTATTTTAGCAATCCCCTCAAACCTAATTAAAGAGACATACTAATTTTTTTCTTCAAGGTGCAAGGAAATTTACTCGTATAAATGAATGAAGTAATGTTGTTAATTATGGCTGCATTTTTTGTAGGCTTCTTCAGAGATTATGGAGTAAATGGTTCTTGGACGGTTGAAAAATTATGGAGTTGGGTTGTTTTTGTTGCGTGTTAGGGTGATATTTCTTTGATAACCAGCATCTCTGATTTGTGCTTTTCGACTTTGCTTGGATTGCTTTTCAATAGAATGCTATTTGCGTACATATTGACTGTCTTAATCTTGTTTTGCTGATGGGAGGAAAGAAAACGTGAGCTTTGTTGATATCATCCCTTGCTTCATATTGCATTTTAGACTCCATTGACAACTTGATTTTGTGTAAAATATTTTTTGCGCCTAAAGAAGCTGTTAAGCTTTCCCGTCTCTCAAGAGGTTTTTGATTTTATCTTTGCAGCCTTAGTCTAGTTTAATCGTGTTTATGATTAATTGTATGCTACTTTATTAAAACTGGAGTTCTTTTATTTCTCTATATATTATGAATAGAATGGGATTTTTTATTTTTATTTTTATGATGCTATCTTTAGAAACACCTAACCCTTGTGGGGGCATATAATCTGTTAGTACACTTCTCCATATCTAATTTTCTTGCAGCTCACATCTCTCTTATCCCTTTTACAATCATGTTGACATCAATTAAGAACATATCTATTTAGCTATACAGAGAAAAGATAGAAACACAGGATCACATAAACATGATGTGCACAACATCAAACTAGTTAGATCTTTTCTTCAAGAAATGTGTCTGTTTTTATAGAATGAATGTTTTTGGAGAGATTTGAAAGGGCAGGTACAATCTCACAGTTTTTTCATAGACACACATATCTCACCTCATCTGTCTTGTTGTCCCGAAATATTCATAGCAATTAGATCATGGCTTCAGGTCATCAAATGATCAAACGGTTGGGATTGTTTTGAGGTAGAACGACAAAGGGGTTCTTCGTCCATCAAAGGAGGGATATGATATGTGTGAAAAGGACTACAATTCAAGCAATGATGTATTTGTCTATCAATATGTAGGAAACAATAGAAAGCCGTATGTTATGAAAGCTTGTGATTTCATTCAATTCAATTGAAAGATTGCTGACTGTTGCTTTACACTTGGTCCTCATGTTAAAATTAAAGAAAATCAGAGAAGAACTTGAATGTATTTGCAATCTGATGTAATTGCTCTGTTGGACTGAGCTGTGGCTACAACTGTTGCAGCTGCTCTGTTGTTCTGAGCTGTGGGCATGGCTGCAGCTCTACCTTGACTTGTAATGCTTTAGCCAGCTGCCCATGTTATGGATATGTCTGCAGCCATGTAGCCCTTATGTCCTTCAATTGTCTTGTTGATCTGACCTCCTAAACCTGCTGGTAGTTACACAAATATGGTTGACATTCAGATTTAGAACACCTTTATGTAAAAACCTGCTGGTAGTGGCTAAGCAAACTAGGATTTACAAACCTACGATAGAGGCTTTAGGCCCCATGAAATTGAAATCCTTTTTTGTCCAAAAGATGGCATCATAGTATTTGCTTTCAGTTTTATTTATCTTTTCTTTAGGCTTCATAAAAGGGTTAATCACATCCATTGATTTCTTGATGAATAAAAACTATGGAAAAACAATAACTTCACAAAGAGGGTAAAAAAAAGAGAGATTGAAATGGAAAAAGATAAGTAGATGTTGAGATTAAAAATCACACACAACAGTCTGTCACCAAAAGTGACGAAATTTTGATGTTTAGAGACAAAATCAGTCTGTCACCAAAAGTCTCTTTTGTTGTATTGAACAGAGAGATAGATAATAGAGAGGCAGAGAGAGAGAGAGAGAGAGATTGTAAGCTAATGGCGGAGCACTCTGTTTTAGACCAGCTCCTCGATAGTAAGAAATTCAATCTCTCTCTCTCTCTCTCTCTCTCTCTCTATGTATATGTATATACATGTATATGTATTTATTTACATGAGTTCAAATCACCATTGAATCATTTCAGGCGCTTTAGATGATTTCCAAAATCTGCAATCTTACTTTTTCTGTTCAAACTCAAAGGTATTACTCTCTCTCTCTCTCTCTCTCTCCTCATATACATATACATATACATATACATATACGTATATATAAATATGTTGATAGCTTTGCTCTTTGATTTCAGGAGTGGAGATGGCGAAATGAAAAAACATGAGAGTTGTATTATGCCTAGTAGTGAGGTTCAAGGCTTGGGTATGGGTTTGCCTGACTTGAGAAGTAAGAAAAAGGGCAAGCAAAAGGTTTCCAAAGAATCTCGTGTTTATATATACTAATATACACATAACAAACAAGCCAATGCTATCTATATATAAAGCTTTTTTCTTCTCATTGTATAAATAAGTTGGCTAGCCTTTATAATTTGTTGAAATGGCTAATTATTCACATCAAAAAATGTGAATAAGGAGGTTTCCTTGTTGACTTTCCTTGATTTCTCACAGGCTCTATGCCAATTGAGGCAGATAGCTCAGGAGGTTTCTCAGTCTAATGTCACCAACTGGAGCAGAAGGCCTGCAGTTCTACGAGCACTTAGCCAGAGGTTGAGCAGGTTGATATATTACTGCTTTACCACCATCTATTGAATATGATAGTTTTCTCTGCTATCCAGAGCTTGATAGATTTTTATTTTTATTTTTATTTTCTCTGGCAGGGGTTTCAATGAGGCTCTTAATGGTTTTATTGATGAGGGGTGGTCTATGATGGAAAATGATGGCATGGATGATGTTAGCATCCTTGTTAACTCTTCACTTGACAAATTGATGGGCTTAAATCTGACCTTTTCTAATGGATTTCCAGCCGTCAGCAATGCAGTCTTGTGTGCAAAAGCGTCAATGCTTTTGCAGGTTAGAATACTGGAAGTGTTTTATTTATCTGAATAGTCCATGGGAAAACATTATTAAAAAAATTGTGGAGTAATTCATTCGTTGATTATGTTTCTTATGCATAGATTGTTAAATTATCCCAGGATGACAAATGCTGTCGACTTGTTATGCAGCTTTTGTTTTTGGTGTGTATGCTGGGGCTCAGCTTGTATGAGGCTGATTCTGCCTCTTTGTCAATCAGCCAAACTGTGCATAGGTCAAACACAGCATAGATGTTTGTTTTCATTACTATGAGTTTGATTAGTTTACCAATTAGTTGATTTAGCTTCCATTCAGTTGTAAAACTGCCCATGCCCCCTTGAGATACCAACCCAAAGAGAAAAGTTGGTAGGTAGTTTAAACTTTAAAGCCAACAAGGAATTGTGCAGAACAAATTCAGCACTAGTAGTGTATTTTGTACCAGAAACACTAGGCGCCGAAGTTTGAACCTCCTTGGCTTTGCCCAATGTACACTTGTGGGGCGTTGGCGTTACATCCCACATTTTACCCTGTAGGGGTGGGTCCAAAGGGCCCTGCCTTGGAGGGATTCCTAGTCATTAAACAAAAATAATAATAATTTGCATTAGTAAAAATATAATAGTAAATAGATGATGCCTTCTGGAAAAAGAAATGAATAAGGGATTAAACTAATGAACTAGCTTGGTTAGACTTGATATCTAGCTTGGTTAAAGTTAAGTTCAACTGCTGGAAATAGGTTATCACTATTCCCATGTCTATATGATCAGGAGCCTCTAGATGGTTTGATACCATACAACCACTAGAGAGCCCAGAATTTTTTTCTTTTCAACATTCCACTTTATCCATCTCATCTTTGGCATGTGCTTTCTACATCTCGTAGTTTCAAACATACAGTGCAGGTACATCAGGATGTTTAAGTGACTAGTTTCTGTGTCTCTGCAGCATAGGAGTTTTGCTGCACTGCTTTAATCTTTGGTTTTCAGGAAATGATCAGACATATCCAGAGTGGTATGCTGTAAGCAATGGTTAAATTGCTTGATCTGTTCCACAATAATGCCAATGATTGTTATTAGGTTTCCCTTGAGTGTGCAAAAATTTTGTCACGCTGCTATCACACATTTGTATAATATCTACAAATATTATGTTTATTTTTATGTGGCTCCTTTTTTTTTTTTTCCACATAACTTTCAGGATTTAATTAATGATGGAAGCATCTTAGTAAGTGAAGTAAATTTCAGATTATTGTCATACTGTGGTCTATTAATGCATGCTTTCTCACACTCCTACTTATCCTTTGGATTCATCTTCTCATTTCAAGTTTAGCATTTCTTTTTCTTCTCTACATTGTCCTTTCTTTCAGAATGTGCCCCCTGCAATACTTCTTAGGTTCTTGCGGGAGCACAGGTCAGAATGGGCAGACAACAGTATTGATGCTTATTTAGCTGCAGCTGTCAAAGTTGGTCCCTGTATTTTACCAAGGGCTCGAGCTGGAAGTTTTGGGGGCCAAGTAATTCTTCCACTAGCTCATACTATTGAGCACGAAGAGGTAAGTTATTTATTCTTGATTTACTGCTGAAATCACTATATAAGGTTGATCTTTTTTAATTCAAATTGACCTGTTGAATTGTAATGGTTTTCTTCAATTGTTGACATTAATTATACATCTCTATTTGTCCTTATTAGTTATTGGAGGTCATTAAGTTGGAAGGTGTTGGCCATTATCCTGAAGATGCAATAATGCCTAGAGTGACATGTTTCTCTTGCAAGTAAGTCTTGTTTCTTAACATTGTGTATTATATTTACTACATGAATAATAACGATCTCATTTAAAAATTTGTTTTTATTGTTTCTTTTGAAGTTGTTTACAAATTGATAGGAAGCTTTGAAAAAGCGACATGAAGAGTCTTTAGAGCCTGGGGCAATACCTTTAACTCAGGAGCAGCTGTCAATCGAGATTCTTGGAAAGAAATCGGGATACTAAAAAGGCTTTGGAGTTAGTCCAAAACCATCATCATCTAGATCTTCTGTTACTGCACAAGCACATACTGAGGTGGTTTCAAGCCTACAAAAAGAACTAGAGTCATTGAAGAATTTGTCCAAGGTCCAGCAAGAACAAATTACATCAGAGGAATCTTATTAACAAACACTTTTGTAATTTTGTGTTTTTGAAAATATTTTGACATAGGATTTGGTAATGTATTTATGGGTTTGATATTAGTAGTTTGTAAGTACTTTGGTATGCATGTTTTAGATTGTCAGAGAATTGTAATTATGTTTATTGGGATTTTTCATAGCTATTAATTTTGAATTAGTATGAATGTCTTGCACAGGTGTATTATTATTTACATTACATTTGTGTATATATTGTGCACAGGAAAACATGTGTTTTGGATTATTTTGAACAGGAAAATTATTAAAATCAAAATTTGTATAGTGAATTTTTAGTAACAGGTGGTGTTTTTGTCGCTGTTAATATATTTGGCGACAACATATTGTTTTTGTTGCTAAAAGTTAGTGGTTATTCCAGGAACATTTAGGAACCAAAACTTACTCGTCGCTAAAAATGTGATTTTTAGCAACCAAATTAATTTTGTCGTTAAATAGTACTTTTGGCGACGCATTTATTTGTCGCTAAAAGTACATAGCCTATCCAAATTTTAACCTTTTAGCAACAAATTGTAATTTTATAGCGACAAAATATATGATTTTTGGCGACCAATTTTGCTTGTCGCTAAATGTCTACATACGGTGACAATTTCTGATTTCGTCGCCATTACTTTTAGTGACAAGGCTTTGGCGACGAGTTGTATATTTTGTCGCCGATTCTTTTGGCGACGAAATTTGTACTTTTGGCGACGAAATTTGTGGGTCGTCAAATGTGTTTTTTGTTGTAGTGAACTAAAACTAATCAATTGGATATGTCATAGAGTATGACGGTTGATAGAATACATTAACGTTATGTATTGATTGATTGTGTATATGACCTTTGTGTGTATACGTTGTGTATGTGGGAGCAGATAGGGGATGTACTCCACGGTTTAGGGGAAGATAGGGGATGGACCTCTAAACCGAATGTTGTTTGGGAGGAGATAGGGGATGGACTCCACTAATACAGCTCATATGCTTGTCAGATAATGTGTTGATATAGCTCATATGCTTATCTTTGGAAGTGTTGATACAGCTCATATGCTTATCATTGGAAATGTTGATATAGCTAATATGCATATCTGTCGAAATGTGGATACAGCTTGTATGCTTATCTGTTGAGATGTTGATACAACTAGTATGTTTATCTATTGTAAAATGGGAAATGTTTAATATGAGTCACTGTCTCATATAAGTGGTTGGCCAGGTTCTGAGCCGTTGATGTAAATTGTGAAATTGATAAGAAATGGAAACTGAAATGAAACATGAATATAGTGGTCATGAAATGGAAATGGGTTATGAATTGGTTTATGGAAATTGAACATTTATCAATTGCTAATGTCTTAGTTATTGCTCATACTGTGTTTAGCATATCTCTACTGGGCGTTGGCTCACCCTTTATGGGACATTATTTTCAGGTACAGGTAGTATGCCACCTCCCAGGACATAGCTTGGATGATGATGAGAGTTGAAGACTCTTTTTTTGGTTGTTTATTTTGTTTGTATTACATGTATATCAAGCCAAGGGCTTATTTTGTATAGAGTTAGTACTCTTCTTTTATGTAACCAGGTGTTGACTTGGAAAGCTGTAAGCCCATAGGGCATTTGCCTTTTGTTGTTAACATGTAATACGGTGTAAGAATTACTCTGATGAATAAAAATGATTGGTTTCTTTTATATCAATGCATGTTTAAAGTGATGGGTTTTATGTATTTTTTTTAGGGCGTTACAATATGTAGCAGGGAGCGGTTGGTAACCTCCATCTCTCTGTTGGCTTGTGGATGGCCCGGGGAGGAAAAACAGGTCTTGATGTTGAGTTCTGCGCAAAATTTCCTAAACTTGGCGTTATCGAATTGTTTGCCATTGTCGAAGATGATGGCTTGGGGAATCCCAAAACGACACACAATGGACTACCAAATGAACTTAGTAGTATTCTGCTCAGCAATCTTAGCAAGAGGTTTCGCTTCGACCCACTTGATGAAGTAATCGATAACTATGATGACAAACTTTACTTGGCCCCTACCAATCAGTAAAGGACCCACGAGATCGATGCCCTATTTAGCGAAGGGACAAAGGTTGCTGAGCATGATCAATTCCATTAGAGGGGCATGGGGGATGTTAGCGTAGCGCTGGCATTTGTCGCACTTCATAACGAAATTAGCAGTGTCTTGACTGAGTGTGGGCCAAAAGTAACCTATTCGAAGAATTTTATGAGCTAGAGACCATCCCCTAGAGTGATTCCCACAAACCCCCTCATGTATTTCTCTCATTATATAAGTTGCTTGGTCATTATTGAGGCATTTGAGATATGGTCGTGAGAATCCCCTCTTATACAGGGTGCCATCAATAATGACGTAGTTCGATGATCGAGTTCTGACTTTGGCGGCTTCGAGTGTGTCTACTTGAAGTGTGCCCTGCTCGAGAAACGTGATGATGTCTTGGGCCCATGGAATGGGCTTATCCTGGAGCAGGTGAATTGCTCATTGATTCGGTGAGACTACTGGATGGTCAGATATTCGACCCAGATGCCGTGGTTAAGGTCTCATTGGTCGGCTGAGGCTAACTATGCTATTTCGTCCACCTGGGAGTTTTCTGATTTGAGGACATGTCAAATACGAAAACTATTAAAGAGGCGGGTTAGAGGAAGAGCAAGGTCCCTGTATGATCGTATGGCTTCTTCCTTTGCATCAAACTCACCTGTTCTCTAGCCGACTACTAATCGAGAGTCGCTAAAGACTTGGAGATGGTCAATTCCGATATCTCTAGCCAATCGAAAACCCACTATGAGAGCTTCATATTCGACTTAGTTGTTGCTTGCCTCAAATAGGAATCAGAGGGCACATTTGAAATACTCTCATTCTGGGATAGTGAGGATTAAATTGGCTCCGGTGCCCTCTTTGCGAGATAAATTGTCGACAAAAAGAGTCCAAGGATGGGGGTCTTCCTCCTTAATAGGGTCGTGTGCTGGCATAGGGGACGTGTGCGGGGTAAAATTTGTGAATTCCAAGATGAAGTCGGTGACAGCCTGGCCTTTGCTAGCTGTTCGTGGTCGGTAGGAGATGTCATACTGACTTAGTTCAATGGACCACTGCATGAGTCTGCCTGATGATTCTGGCTATTGCATAACCTTTTTCAAAGGCTGGTCGTTGAGAATCACTATGGAATGAGGTTAGAAATAAGGTCGGTGACGTCTGGAGGCGATGACCAGGGCGAGAGCCAATTTTTTGTAATAAAGGGTAGTTCTGTTCGGCTCCTCTGAGAGCAAGACTAATGTAATAAACCGCGCGCTGTACTGATCCATCCTCCATGATGAGGACAGCATTAACAGTAATATATGACACGGCTAAGTAGAGGAAGAGGGTTTCGCTTGGCAGTGCTTGAGAGAGAAGAGGGGGTTTGGCCATGCATTGTTTTAGTTGTTGGAAGGCTTCCTCAGACTCGGTGTTCCATTCGAAGGCTTGCCAGAGGACTTTGAAGAATGAAAGACATTTATCAATCGCTCCCGAAATAAAACAGTTGAGGGCGGCAACTCTGCCTGTTAACCGTTGAATTTCTTTGACCGTCCTAGGAGATCACATTTCTATCAGGGCCTTGATCTTTTCTAGGTTGGCCTCAATGCCTCTTTGGCTGACCATGAACCCCAGATACTTACCAGAGCCAACACCAAACACTTTTTCAAGTTCAATTTCATCTGATACTTGCGTAAGGTTTGGAAAGTCTCGCGCAGGACGGCTAAGTGGTCCAAGAAGAGTTTGCTCTTGACGAGCATGTCATCAACGTAAACCTATCTGGTGTTGGAAGACGGCATTTACCAGGCATTGGTAAGTGGCTCCAGCATTCTTTAAACCGAACGGCATGACTCGGTAGTGATAAGTGCCCCTGTTAGTGATGAAAAAGGTATGTTCCTTGTCGGCCGCGTGCATTAAGATCTAATTATAACTAGAGAAAGCATCCATGAAGCTAAGCATCTGGTGTCCCGCAGTTGCGTCGACGAAAAGATCTATCCTGGGAATGAGGTAGCTGTCTTTGGGGAAGACTCGGTTGAGGTCGGAATAATAGACGCAGAGTCGCCATTTGCCGTTGTTTTTGCAAACTAGGACCACGTTGGACAACTATCTGAGATAGTCCACATTTTTTATGAACTGTGACTTTAACAGCTTGTCAACCTCAGCAATGATGAGGTTGTTACGTTCTGGATGAAAAATGTGTTGTTTTTGGCGGAATGATCAGAATTGGGGTTCAATGCTGAGACGATAGGTGATGAAAGAAGGGTCAATTCCTGGCATATTTGAATGGGTCCAAGCAAAGACATCATTGTGTTCGATTAGGAGAGCCGTGAGATCGGCCTTGGCCTGAGAAGATAGCTGGCTGCCGATCTTAGTCGTTTTTGTCGAATCCGTGGGATCGACAGGTACTTTGACAAGTTCATCCACTGGTTACCCTCTAACTAATTCTTTCTCATCTCGGACATCTAGGCCTTTGATTATCATAGTTTCTTTTATTTTGACTTCCTTCAGTGATGCGACATATCATTCTCGGGCTATGATCTGCTCTCCTCTCACAGTGCCGACCCCCTATTCAGTAGAAAATTTCATGGCCAGGTGGTACGTGGAGGTTACGGCTTGAAAGGCATTAAGGACGGTGCACTCTAATATGATGTTGTAAGCAGAGGGACAATCTATGACGAGGAAAGTGAGCAGTTTGGTAGACTGCTGCGGATATTCTCCGATGGTGATGGGGAGGTCGATGGAGCCAATGGATATGATCCGATCCCAGTGAAGCCCACTAGGGGGGTTTATAGAGGTGACGACTTCTCTTCTCCGACCTTTAGTTTGCGATAAACGTTGAGGAAGATGATGTCTGATGAACTACCGTTGTCGACTAGAACTCTCCTGACTTTGTAATTTGACAACTGGGTATAGATGACCAGGGGATCGTCATGAGGATAGCGAACGCCAGTGCAGTCTGCGCTGTGAAGATGACCGACTCGGACCATTGTT